ACATTTTTTTTTTAACTGCTTATCTAGCTTCCTGTCAGGGACAGCTGTGCTGTAGTTCTCAGTAACAGCCCTGCAGTCCACCGTAGTGTCACCACCTGCGCTTAAGGAAAAACAAAAGATGAACTGTTGTTTATGCAACGTAGGCATTTTCTCTAGCGGGCAACTTGAAGATTTGAAATGTCGTAGCTTTGCTTGTGAAATACGGTCATCATAAAGACCGAACACAACCGTGACAGTGGTTTAATACTTCATTACGTGTCTACCTTCATGTCCACCTTCATGCTCTTGGCGCTGCTTTTATTAACGGTTAGCTGCAGGAAAATTGAATAAATTTATACACGCTCACCCCAAGGGAGTCGATAAAACATTAACTGCTCGTAGATTTGAAGAGGACCTCCTTTTAAACAGTTTGAACTATTTCTTTAACAATTTACTGGTTAAGACGTCAAAGTCGATTGCGGCAATCCCAGAAGGCAAAAAACTGTAAAAGTTATCGAGACAGAGCGCAACCAGAAGTGAGCTCCCAAATAAAAGTCTACCTATTGGGCCAATACAACCTTATTTCACCCATATAAGCGCGTCGCTGGATTTGTCAAAATACACGGCAAGATAAAACACACAATGTGACAAGAGCTTAAGAAAGTAGAATGCAGTAAAAAAAACAAAAAAATGAATGTGTTTAACATGAAACATTTTCTAAACTCTTCCTTTTCATCTTCACATTACAAATATGCCATGAGATATTTACACCACACTATCACTTTGCTGTGGGAAGCAAATGAACAAGTGTTTCTAATTGCAGTCGGAGGGAAAATGCAATTTTATACGCTTTCTGAGCTGATCGAGAAAGTTTCTCTGCACTTAAACCAATGGAAATGCACTTGAAGCAGGAGCTCTAACCATGCCCTTTTCCAAACCACTCTTTAAACACCTTTTAAGGCATTATCAAACTGCAGTATTTAACAGTAGAGGCAGCTTAAAAAATGCTAACAAGCTTGCTGTGAATTAATGTCAGCTCAGCGCCTCTTTAAACATACAATATTGACAAAGCTAATGCAAACTAAGAGCTGTTTAGCTCAGAGTCAAGTGTTTTTCTTCTGTGTAAATGAACTAAGCACTCCTCTGACTAGGAAAGAAAACTTTGCACATCGGTATGAATTGCCTTAAAAGCTACTTAGACACCAGAGACAACCTATAATATTCCCCCAAGAGTGCGGCACTGTGCCGAGCATTTACAATGACTCGAAAGAGAACTTGAACCTAAAGACAAAAACACAGAGCTACAACATAATATCCTTGGTTGATTAAGATTATTCTTTATTATGAAGTGCCACAAAATGCTTTGTGATCATTGTGCTTACATTGTCTGAATACTGGCTCAAAAAAAAAAACAAACTAAACAAAACAAACAAAAAAAAAAAACTCACAGGAGATTCTCACTCTGGAACAGAGATCCAACCCTCCTGCGTTAAGGTAAGTCAGATATCGCTATACAGCAGTAAAAACGTCTCAATCCAAAGGATTCTTTACAAACCCTCCTGCAATAAATGATTATTTAGGCTATCATCATTCTTTAACTTGGAAATACAAAAGAAGAAGAAGAAGAAGAAGAAGAGAGGTCAAGCTAGTACAAGTTTTTATTTTTTTATATAATTCTTCTCTACCTGATTTCTAGTTAGTTTCATTGTGCTACTTTCTTTAAAGGTGGAGATGACTACAATGGAAGTACTTAAAGAGGCCAGATCAGGAGCTCACCAGGAGACAGACTCAAGCAGGCAGACTTCATAAAGTATTCCTTCTGCTTTAAAACCACTGAAAAGCCTCATGACAGTTTCAGCCAAACACCCAGAAGACAGAATAGAGTGCAAAGTCTATCAACCAACACTTTGAGACATTAAGACGGGAAACAGTCGGAGCATCATCACATGCACTCGGTTGCTGCAGTAAAGGTTGCTATGGCTGTTAGAAGTCCTGATTATTACATCTCTAGACCTTTGAGTTAAACTAAGAAATATAAAGACTGCATTTTTTGTTTTGTTTGTACAACTTTTGCTATAAAAACATTTTAATCATCTGTGATGCTGAAGCAAAATTTAAAAGGTTGTCTGTATTGTACATAAAAGCTGTTCTAAATTACAAACTGAAAAAATCAACAACAACAAAAATATCCAAAATGGGCTTCAAAAAGTTGGTGATCTACGATCAATGATTTGATGAATTTTAGATGACTGAAGTCCAGATCAAGACCATGACTGGCTGGTTCATGTTCTTATTTTAGAAGAAATAATAATAAAAAAAAAGTTTTCTCTTTCACCAAGATCTCAACACTTTTTTTCAGCCGTTATTGTAGAAGATAAAGAAGTCAGAAGTGTGAGATGTTATCTTCTCGCACTCCTGACACTTCTGATTTAGGCTTTTTGCCTTCAGAACATCTTTGCAGACGCATCACAATTTATGCGAGGTTTTTCTTCTTTCACTCTTATAACAAGTTAAGAAAACTAAGCTTATTCTGTGTAATCTTTAAGACGCCCTATGTCAAAAACATCTCCAAACAGCATTAGTCCTCAGGAAGCAGTGTAATTATCAAAGCTCAGAGATCCACATAGCTAAACGTAGCTGCAGACGGATTTGTTATTCCAAATGGCTTATAATTAGGCACTGTGTGCTTGCATGCATATGGATGCACTTGTTAACACATTTCTGAATGTTTCTGCTCAAGCTTACAATATGCACAAACTGTATAGTGTCACGGATTCACATAAGTACGATCTAAAAACGCACGTCTGTGCTCAGTCTGTCTCATGGGAAGCACCATGAATCTGAAGGAAAAAAAAAAAAGGTTTCTGAGCTGCAGAGATCTGGGTTCAGCATCACTGCTGTTGACCACCTACATTAGAAACTAAATGATTTATGGGGTCAGAGCTGATTCAAGTTAACCTGTCTGCAGGTATATCACTCATGAAGTGAGCCTCTGGGGTGGCCCGGTAGGGGTGGATCGGGGGGGCCTGCTGCAGAACAATGCAAACTCCGTTCCATGCAGCAGCGGCAGCATGAAACTGTGAACTGTAATCAGACTGGCCGGTCAAAGTGCAGCCTGCATCTGTTGTTGAAGAATGCACAGTTAATGTTGTGGAAGCGCTCAGGGGGAGATGACTGAATAATGCATCGGAGTCAGAGTTGACCTCAGTCTAGCTTCAGCAATGCACCAAACTTTGCCTTGGTTTTTCCAATAAGGCATGCTGAGAGTTACGTGTTGCCTCCCAGCTTGGGTTTGTGCAGATCTTATGGCAAAAACTCAGTGTGATTCCTTTTGGCTTCCCGCTGAATATCACAGCAAAATTTAATAAGTCTGCCTCAGTAAATTAGACTATTGCAAAAAAGATGATTTATTTCAGTAATTTGGGCTTAAAAAAGAGAAACAGATTCATATAATTTGGCTGATTTTGGTCACTACAGCTAATGAAAACCCAAAATTGTTATTTCCAGAAAAATTTTATGTTACTATTGCATAGCAACAATAAAAAAATTGTATTTGAATACAGAAATATTGTGCTGTGGCCTACAGAGTGATGGGAGTGACTGCCTACAGAAACAGGAGAGTGAAATATCTCTTGATACAAAAGCTGTACTCGTAGTTCACACTCTGCGAAACTCTCTGACACTCATGAATGGAATTTGTGTAACAATACTTTAAAAGTTTTACATCACCCTGTTGCTTGGGCTTTTCTTTTCTACCACACTTTTTCCTTCCACTTAACATCCCATCACCATGCCTGGATTAAGCACTTTGTGAACAGCATACTTTTTAAGCAATGACCTTCAATCACTTAAACTTTTTCCGGACAATGTCAAGACTGTCTGCTTTCAGTCAGCAGTCTTATCTGTGTAGATTTCCGAGAAACAATACTTTGACTTTTCATGAGCTCGGCACATTAACAGAAATGGATGCTTGAAGCACATCACCCAGTGTGTAGCGAATCCCTATCATATACAAGTTTCCCTTTCTGAATCAAATTACTGAAATAAACATACTTTTCCATGATATCCAGCTTTTCGGAATGCACCTGTCCATCCGTTGACTGGATGATGCAGAAAGTTGCCAGGCATGTCACAACCGCACAGCAGTTATCCTGCAATAGGCCCCACACCCAGCAGACAGCTGATCCCAGCCTCTCAAAGCCTAAATCCTACATTAGTTCTACTCACTAAGAGGCAGGCAGTGCATAACAAGAAAGGAAAAACGGGACTTTTCTTTTCATCACTCTAACACTACATTGGCATGATCCCTGATGTCTGCAATGTTAGTATTTTTCAGTTTATGACTATAGGTGAAGTAAAACATACCTGATTCTTCAAACTGCTATACAGTAGTAGGTAATACTTCATAACTTCATCATAAAATTCCATGCATTAGGTGATTATTGCTTTTACGAGTCCTATGGAGGCTCCAAGAGAAAAAATATTGCCCTCGGGTTCTATCTATAGGAATTTTGGCAAAAATTCATAAGCTTTTTTTTTTATGTGGTTGGCATAGGTTTCGTTATTTTTCTTTTTTTTGTTTTTGCATGCAGTAATGTTAATAAAAAAAAGAAGGTAAACAATATAATAGAAAAAAATCGTATGCAAAAAAAGTGACATATGCTTTGGCCTGTAGTGGTAAAAAGACATATCCAGAACTTAAAGTGCAAATAAACAGCATCTGTTGTCGTCAAATCAAGTAGAAATATACAACACATAATAAAAAGAAACATTGCTTAAATAAATAAATAAATAAATAAATAAATAAATAAATAAATAAATAAATAAATAGTTTTTTTTTTACCTCAGAGGTGGAGAGATTATGGTCACTTGGTGCAGCAGAGCATTATTAATATTATTCTCATTATTATTAATATTCTTATTAGTACTATTCCCCCAAAAAGCAGAATCGGAATGAAAAAAACAACAACAAAAAAACACTTTCACTGCATTTCAGTGCATGGAGAAAACTAGTAGCTATATGTTTGCTATTGTCATTATTCTCATCATTATCATCATCAATGTTCCAAAATATATGTAGTCATATTATATCTAGATGCCAGGAGGAAGCTGCAGTAATATCAGTGTCTCTGCCCTGAACAGACAGAGAAAAAGGAGGTGACGTGATTTCAAGGAAGTGCATGCGTCGATCAGTTAAATCCTTAAGTGGGAAAATCTCAAGGAGAAAAATTGTGCTATCTTCATCGTATTCGTCATTGTGGACAGGCTCCAAGGGAGAGGAGGTGGGGACGGGAGTGGGCAGGTAAGGGAGGTAGAAGGAGGGAAAGCAAGGTCGCATTCTGACCAAAAATATACCGTCTGCAGTTTAGTCTTTAAGGATAATGGTAATTTGTGTCTGCGGTTTTGTCCCTCATTTGATCTCTTTGTAGGTTGTCATGCGTCTAATGGGCCGAGAGGGGAGAAGGGGCCTTTGAAGCAGGCAGATTCGTAGTGCTTGTTCAGATAGCTCTTGAGCGCGAAGGTCTTGTTGCAGCGTTTGCATTTGAAGTGCTTGAAGGCCGAATGCGTCTGCATGTGGGCGCGCAGGTTTGAGCGGTCCGCGAAGGCCTTCCCGCAGTGGGCGCACCCGAACGGTTTCTCGCCGGTGTGGGAGCGCATGTGGCCCTGCAGGAGCCACGGCCGGCTGAACGCCTTCCCGCACACGTCGCACTTGTGCTTGAGGTCATGAGTGAGCAGGTGCATTGCCATGGCGGGCATGGACACGTACACCTTCCCGCAGGTGGGGCACTTCTTTGCCAGCTTGCTGTCAAGTGAGCGGTGCGTCTGTTTGTGCCGGCTCAGGTTGGAAGACGTGGCGTAGGTCTTGCCACACTCGTTGCAGGTGTGCCTCTGGACGCTCCTGGGGCTACCGAGGGCTTTCCTTCTCGAACGGCCGTCGGTGATGAAGAAGGCGTCGACTGTGTATCCCTCGCTGACCGCGGCGTCGCCGTTGATGTAGCCGTCTGTGATTTCTGAGCCCGGACTGTCCGGAGACTCCGAGTCGGGGGCACCGTAGTCGCTGTGGATACCGTCATAGAGGGGGTCGGGAGAGGGCACCTTGATCCCGCCATCGCTCTCACCATCATACACGACAGGACTGATGTAGTCACTGATGTAGGCCGCTAAGGTGGGAACAAGAAAATAGTGTCACACCAAAGTAGGAGTCACAGTTAGGAATGATGCACATTAATGTTACTGTCCCTGAAGAACTTTGATATGTTTGTCAGACACTAAAGAAAACACATCTACGCTGTTTTGCTAAGCTATTTATGTCCTTTGAACATTCACGCAGTCACATTACAACTTCAGACTTCAGTGCATTTTCTTAGGGCTCCATGTTGCAGAGCTGTTCCCACAGAATATCAGCTGTGAGACGGACAGAAAGGATCCCTGGTCTTTAAAGGTTTTCACAAAAACAACTCTGAAAACTGTAGCATGAGTATTCTGTCCAAGTCAATAATATCTGGAAGCATTTTTTTTCCTGCATCTATAGCTAATCTTTTGGGTCATCTCTCCAACAGCTTTGCAGATATATAGACTAAAATAGTTTGCAAAATAACTCAAACTCAGTCAGAATGGATGTAGACCGTCTGTGAACAGAAAATCACAAATATACCGAACATGTCAATCTAAACGTTTACATTGTAACTCTGGCTGAATGTTTTGTGCTATTGCTTTCCTGTAAGGTGAACCTTCACCCTAATCTCAAGCCTCAAGCAGACCGATAGCTTTTCTTCCAGTATTTCCCTCGATTTAGTTCCATCCGTCTCCCATTTGACTCCAGCTAGCTTTCCTGATGTTTCTGGAGAAAAGCATCCCCACAGTATGATATTGCCATCACAGTTTTTGTAAAGCCACAAACCATTAAATCCAACTGAAAAACATTAAAATATGAAAAAGCAACAGGATAAAATGTGAACAAGTCCAAGGTGTTTGAATTTTTTTTCATGGCACTACATAACACGGCTGCCTGTTGAGGACAGAGAGGCACACTGACAAAATCCTCAGCAAACTCCCAGAGAACAGCAATTTAGATGATAAAAATAATACCAATTTATTACTGCATGTATGGCTCCTCTGGGACAAAGTGGCGACTATCAGTGATTAAAACCATTAAAGTCCTAAAGACAGTGAGTGATGAAAACCTGAAGTTTCTTAAGCATATATGTTTTGACGTGCACAAATGACACAAAATTCATAAAAAACTAATCAAGCACGAATTTGTTGAGGCACCAGATTTTTTCATTTAAACTAATAATTATGTAGTCTCGGCTGAAACAGTAATTGAAACATACAGTAGGCCTCCACTGTTGATTTACAAACCCAAGGTGATTAACCATTGTTATTTCAGAGAATCAAATATTCCTTCCTGTCATTACATGTGGCAGTAAAACAGCAAGCACTTCATCATGCTCAAACCACGAGCAATCAGACACTCAATAAAAAGCTTAGAACGTTAAAGATTATCTAAAAATATAGGGCAGAAGAAACAAACTAGCCTATTTTTAGTGGCTATAAGATTTACTTAAGCATTGAAAAAGGCAATAAAAAGTATTCAAGATTCAAGACTGTGGTAGTAGATGGATGATTATAATTGCAGAGTTACAAATATTAACATAATACAGTGTTTAAAAGCATCAGGTGTGACAGCATGCCTGCACCGACAGCTGCAGTCCTTCGGTATCTGTGCTGTAATAATGCCGCAGCAACTGTATCCAAGTTCTGCATAAGTGGTAAAGTGTGAAATCAACGTACAATCAGTGAAACAGCAGTAATTTCAGCGTGTGTCAAACATCTGTTTAAAAAAAAAAATATATATATATATATATATATTTGAATTTCCTTTTCATGAGTCGGAGCATCTGTCTCTCCTCGCTGTACACCTGTGACCAGGAGAGGCTGCTTGAAAGGATCCGCAGTGTGAGTCCTGAACTAATTTAGCAATACATCTCCCTTTGGCCCTCAAGAGCTGCAGTTAAAAACACTCTCCCTCTAAAAGATGAATGCACACAGGCTGACCCTGAACCTGAGGAAAAAGAAGCTGATTTAGCGTGTGAAAACAGGAATCAGCACCGCGGACTGATCCAGCGCGGAACCGGGTCGATGCTACAGTGACCACTGGCTCCCAGGCAGCGCAGCTTCGGTCAGTGCAGTGACCTGTTGGCTTTGTGCTTCTTTGACTTGACAGAAAAATTAAGAACTTTTTCTTAAAACTAATTTTATTTTATTTTATTTTATTTTCCCCGAGAGTCAGAACTGGTTGTGTTCTGGTCTTACTGGAAGCAGTTGCAAAAATCACTTGTATTCACACAAAGCTGGTAAAACATACATAATTTCAATTATGTTTAATGACTACACTCTATATAGGTAACCTATAAGTTACCATATTAAGCTGCAGAAGTCTGAAAATGTTTTGCCTTATCTTCATGAACTCAATAAATTGTAAATTACTTTAAAATTTTTACGCAATATATTCTGATCCACTATCTTTGAGCCTAGTTGTGTTGCTAGTTAATGCTGTTTTGTTTTGCTATACATTTTATTTCTAATTTTAATCTTTGCACATTCATCTGATCCTGGGTGTTGTTTCATAAAAAAAAAACATTTTTATACAATATAAACTATGTGGAAGTTCAATACATTTCAGCTGATTTGACATCAAGCCTCTGTAGCCTTGACAGAACAGGTGTCTCTGTTTATTAACTACACAGCTTATGTTGGCATGTGTTCACATTCAGTTTTATTAAGGAGGAGTAGAAAAGAGATTGTTTAAATTTATACCACACTTTCTTTGTAAAAAACAAAAACAAAAACAAAACAAAACCATGAATCATCCTTTTCAAATTATCCACTACTTTTTTTTAATCTGACACATTCAATCCCATTAAAAGATATTACTGGTAAGGTGAGAAAATGTGTAAAACTTCTGGATGTGTGAATTTATTTTTAGACAGATTTAAGTTACACTCATATAAATCTACTCTCGCTACACATTTTCTTTAGCCATTGGCAATTCCACATAAACAATATAACTCTCATCTAGATCCACTTTATGCTCTCATGATTGGGTCTGCTTCAGTGATGATCCAAACCTTCCCTTCAGGTTTCTCTAAACACCAATGTCCACAAACATCCAGCAAAACTGAACATTAGTTGTGATGTTGCCCATTGTTGAACTTCTGCCTCTTATGTGCCACACTTACTTAAAGTTGTTCCTTGAAATATCTAAACTAAGACAAATTCATAAAAACTCAATCAGTGCAGTCATAACTGGTCAATGTAATTGCATTTCTTATTCCTGTAATTATGTCTATTTATTTTGGTGATGGCACTCATCAATATGTAATGTTTGTTCAATTGTTGGTTTAGGTGTTCTGTAGGTTATATGGTTGTAAAAACATGTTTCTTCAGTTTTTGTTTGAGTCTCAGAGAGGAGCAGGAATGGCAGACAGAAGCAACAAATCCCATGTGGCAAACATATCTGTTTGCATATAATAACAGCAGTTCGCAGTCCCATGAGAATACACACTGACGACACTTACGCCGAGGCAGAACGCGGATGGGGTATAAATATAAATAATGAGTCTAAAAGGCGTCATGTTCAGACCGAAAGTTTTCCTAAAATGGCCCTCTGTAGTGGGGATGTTTGAAGAAGCTGCTTTGAGCTGCTAAAATCACAGGTAAGAGACTGGAGACAAAAGGTGGCTGAGGCAGACTGCATTACAGAAAGCGCTCTAGTGTCAAACCAGGCAGATTGTTAGGTTTGTTAACCTCGACATTAAAAAGCCGTTTTTGCTTTAGAAGCACAGGATTGGTGGCATGGAGCATGCGTGTTGGCGTGCAGCAATCTGTCATTGATTCCCAGCTGGAAATAAAGCAGTTTATTCTGCGTCTCACACACACACTTAAGGTATGAGGGTGGGTTTGCAGTTTTCATATAGTTCAAAATAATCAGCTTCGCTGACAGGATTGTAGCAAAGGCCAGATTTGTTAAGAAGCTGAAATGTGAAACGTTTACAACAAGATTCAATACATTTACTGCCAAATGTCTCATTTTGGTAAACAGCATTTCTGCTTTTTACCTCCAAAAGAGAGTTAGGACTTATCTGGGAAACAGGCTGTAAATGTCAAGTAAATGGTCCTGCTTCAGACATTCTTTGTAAAATTGTTAAATAAATGCTTTTCCCAGAATTGCATATCCTTGGATGCAATATTTACATGGCTGCAAAAGACTAGGGAATTACACACAAATGGGAGAAAAAAAAAATCACAAAAGTAGGTCACACTTTTTAAAACCATTCAGTAAGCAGAGTGGTATTTGAAAATCTGCATTTTCTGACATTTATTTAATTTGTTTTGCCTTAACTGGTTAAATAAAAAAAAAGTGACGTCAATTTTCCCTTTAAAATGTTGTCCTTATGTGACAGTTTAATTTTATGGCAGCTGTTGCAGGTAGAGAGTGAATCATCCAGAGCGAGAAAACCAGCGTGCAAAAAAAGAAAAAAGTGCCAACACTGCAAAAATAGAGCAGTAACACCTGGTGCACGGAAACGTTGTAGAGCGTGTCAGAGGATCAGCCTCCGGTAAGGTCAGTTTAATATACAATCTTGTCTGATAACAGCAGTGGCTTGGAGATGCTCGTTGCATTGCTAAACGTAAGCTACCAAATTCCTGGTTAAGCTGTTCATATTGCACCTGTTGTGTAGTGTATCAGTGTGTCTGAGGTGAGAATCAAACAGATTTAAACGTGAATAAAATGCCCTTTTTTTCTTTTTTTTCTTTTTATCAGATCGTTTTCTGCAACCTCCAGGACACCAAAGAGGCGATTCTGACGCGTCTCCATCTGAGCATGTCTGAAAATGGTGCATTTTTGCTTTCACAGAAGCGGGAAAGTAAAAGCACGTCGGCTCTCTTTATCTTTTTTTTTTTTTTTTTGTCGTTACTTATTATTCTGCGTGGGAGCAAGAAGGTCCCAGCTGAGCATTAGGAAGGATCAGCGAAGCGTGCGAGAAACTCTTGATTGAGTTAATTTCACAAGTGACCTTTACGCAGACCAACTCCAAGAGGAGAACAAATATGCTACAGGATCAAATCCAGCAAAGAATGTTTTACATTTTGCAGGAAAAAAAAAAAAAAAACGCTACAACTGACGAGTTCTGCGTGTTTTTTGCTGTCCACCGCAGCATCTGCTCGTCTGATCCCTCCCAGGCCTGTGGAGCTTAAATCTCTTACAGGCTGCTGTGTCATCTAACTTTGATATATTTTCAATAGCTGATTGAGGGAATGAGACATAAGTAAGTGTTAATGACCATGTGATAACTCTGTGCTGTCTGAAGTCCTTCCCTAATAATTGATTACAGGCTGTCCCACTACAACACCCACCTTATTGAAGGGTTTGAAACAGAACCAGACTGAAAGTGTGGTCAGCTATAAAAACATGACATGAAGATGATGATATTACAAAATGTCCCACTAGATGAAATGAATGCAGTAAAAACCCATTACTCTGGCTACACACCCACCCACCACGCATAACATTATGACAGGCAAGGAGAGACACATTGATAAAGTTCTCTATTAACGTATCCGTTTGTAAAAAAAAACAAAAAACTGCATTTTGTTTACACTGAAACATTATAAAATGAAAGTCCAGCTCTGGTGGGGATTTCCCTAAACAGATTACTAACTAATGCATGTTGGGCCCACTGGTGAAACTAAAGGGGGGTGTAATGGGCAATAGCCTCCCCTAAAATTTGCTTCTCCCAATCCAAATTATTATTTAGCTCTACAGTTTTAGCCTAGGTGAGTTGCAGCATCTTCTTATTTACTGTATTCAGTCCTACGTTACACTTCTGGATCCCTCCTGGTATAACATCACTCATTCCCCAGCCTACCTATACATGACATCATAACACTTCTGCTTCCCCATCGCCACCCTCACACAGACTGACACCCTCATTCAAGACACCACACAAGAACGCCTGCGCACGCACACACACACACACACACACACAACAGATTTAACAATCTGCTGTTCCCATAATTAACTTTTCCATTTATAGCCACTCAACCTGTCCATATTTGCCTTTGTTAATTTGTTTACAGCTGGTAAATTTCCATCTGATTCTCTGCCTGAGGTTTTTTACACAAACAGCGCTGCTGTGCAGTTTGCTGAGGTGTTTGCTGATAGCTGCTCTGTGTGCCGTCAGCTACCCTCCCAGGGACAAACACAGTATTTAAAAGAAATGTTTTGGCTTTAGGTTTTGCTGTGCTGACTCTATACTCTGGATGGCCTTTCCCATTAGTCCATCCATGTAAAAACTTTGTGGAAGTGCCTCTTTTAGGGCGATGCAAACTGCACTTGTGCTCCTGTCACCAGGGGAGCCCGAGCTCCCAAGAGACACAAGAAGACATCCAGATTTGTCATGTTTTATGGTTGACTGCAATCAAGGATCGACCTGCCTGTAGAGGTTTCTCTGTGCTCTTATAGGATAGATTTGCACAGCCTTGCATCCCTTAAAATTGATCGCTCTGGTTGTTTTCTTTATTACTTGACTATTATTTATACAGATTATCTCACTGAGATCCAAAATCCCATATACAAGCGACCTGTTTTAATAAAACAAAACAAAAAACACACAGCAACAAAACAAGTACTTATTAATAAAATTGACACAAATAAGCTGATAAAAAATAAACGAGCTAAAAATAAGAACAAGTTTAATAAGAAAACCATCTTCTTCTTTTTTTTAAGAAATTTGAAATGTCACAAAGTTATTTCTTCTGCCGTTAAAGTGTCTTGCAGAAGTTAGAGATCCTTCTTTAGGGGCTTAATAAAACCAGGCAGGAGTTTTTAAAGCTGCTGTAGTTTGAGCTGCTGAGAAACTTGATGCAGTTTGTTGTGCATGGCGCTGCATACCAGCCAGTTTTGCCCATACTGGTTATAATATTATGCTTGTAGCTTAGACAAACTTTATATCTGACACAGAGTTGGTCTGTGCGTGAATTTTAGCTTCTTGTAACCCGCAGCTCTGATGTGTAAGGCTCTGGTAAAGATTTAAAACAATCACAGAAAAAAAAAAAAAGCAACCTTCAAGACCCAACAGGTAAATCTACCTCTTTGTCTCATGCATTATAGACCAGCCTTATTACAGAAACATAACCCCCTCCTCTCCTGACTGCATCCCTCTCTTCCTCTTCCTCATCCTCCTCCTCCTCCTCACTGGGATCGATCTGTATCCGAGACACCTGTAAGTCCCGCGCTGTGTAGGCAGCCTGACCTACCTTTGTCATGCAGCCGCAGGCTGAGGTCTGTCCTGTGCCGGTAGGCGTGTTCCAACTCCGCCCCGGTGGAGAAATCATCCAGTTTCACCTTTTTCACCAGGAAAGACCTTGGCATGATGGTGAGAGACACCGGCACGCACGCGAGCACGCACGCTCCCACAAACACAACGTACACGCGGACGCAGCGATACACACACGCGCGCACACTCTCGCGGATGTAAAGCCCCTCGCCGACGGCCTGGCCAGCGTGGCGATCCCGTCCGTCCGTCAACACGCCGAGCAGAGGGGCCGATTGTCTTCAGGTGGTGGCGGGAGCCGAGCTGCCGAATTATCCGGTCAAAAGAGTTATTGTTCTGCTTGAGTGTCCCTGCCTGGCCCGGTCCAGTCCTCTTGCAGGAATGGGAGGAAATGCAACTTCAGCACCGGACAGCTCCCACCGTAGGGGAGGAAGAGGAGGAGGAGAAGGAGAAGGAGGAGGAGGAGGAGGGGGTGCCTCGTGCTTTTTGCACTCGCGGACAAACGGAAGACTGAAGGCTCTCGAACAATAATAAGATAAAAATGAATATAAAAAGGCGATGGAAGACACCTCGCAAAGCCCGGGCCTCTTTAAAAAAAGAAATGGAGGAGGAAGAAGGGAAGGACGAGGGAGGGATGCGAAGAAAATCAGAGGTTTAAAAAATATGTAATAATAACTTAGAATGCTTTTATGTATAAAAAAAATCCCTTTTACGAAAAAAAAGTCCTTTATATCCCTTTAAGTCAAAAAAAATTGTACAAAAAGGGACTCCGATGAATCAACAGATCCCCCTCTTTCTCTCTCTGGATCCCTCTCTCTTCACTCTCTTCCCCTCGCCTCTCTCTTTCTGCTGCTTCGAGCTGTTCCCGCGAGTGTGCCGTCTCGCGATCAGCTGTTGGCATTTATACGGAGAGAGGGAGAGAGAGAGAGAGAGAGAGAGAGAGAGAGAGAGAGAGGGATGGACGGATGGATAGACACAAGGGTGGAGAGAGTGCTTAATTTAATCCATCCCGCATCCCCTGGGAGCGGCGACTGGCCCGGATGATTTATTGAAGCTGTTATCACCCCCTCTTTCTCTTTCTTTCTCTGTCTTTCACTCTCCTTCGCTCTCCTTCTCTTCATTGTGTGTGTGTGTGTGTGTGTGTGTCAGAGAGAGAGAGAGAGAGAGAGAGAGAGAGAGAGGCAAGACGCCATGTTTTGTGGAGATAAGAATGGAAATTATTTTTTTCAAGCATTCGTCGACTTGATTTAGCTATCTCAACGTGAAACATGCTTTTTAAAGATTGCTCCATTGTTCATAATTTTTTTTGGGACTCATACTTCTTTTTTTTACTACTAAGCTTATTTCTAGTTATTTCTTTTCCTTTTTTCTGTGATGACAAGGATTTTAAAGGGGGATATTAACTTGCATGCTGAGAGCTTAGTAATTATCATTAATGTAGCCCTGAAGGCAAAAAGGGAGTAGACCAAATGGAGTGTTTTACAGTAGCCTAACCACCGGATTAATATGGAGGTAGGGTATATCAGCTCCAGGGTCACATTGGGTTCACTTGCAACTTTTTCTGATTTTTATGTGGGAAAAAACAAATCCAATGTAATGTAAAACTGAATGAACTTTTTCAGAATTACTGTTCTCTTCAACTTGTCCAGAGTTCTCTGTTGAGGCTGGCGTGCTCTAAAATTTAGAGTGCTCTAAAAGTTGACATTATTCAAAATGTCTTTGTTATGACAACTTGACATTAACCAAGAAATCATTACTGATATAAATTTGTTATAAACGTATTACTGATTGAACTTTAAAAATCAAGTAACTTTATGTTATTAAAGGTAAAGTTTAAACAGTAATGATTTCTTGGTTAATGTCAAGTTGTCATAACAAAGACATTTTGAATAATGTCAACTTTGTATTAAAAGTGTCATAATTTACCAAATGATGCTTTATGACAGTCATAAATATTCATGAAGGCTTATTCATGTTCATGACAGGTGTTATGTCATGTTTATGAAAGTGTCATGTCAGTCTTATTCACCCCCCTTCAAATAAAGTGTTACCGAATGTTTTCTGCAATTGTACAGAAAACATTCTTTATATGACTGATATGTCATACCATTGCAGATGTTGCCACCTAACAGACTGGAGCACTGCAACTCTGGAGTCTGCATGAAGCTTCCTAGAAGTGAATTACACTACATAGGCATTTTTTAGTGAATTGCTAAAAAAAGTTCTCCCAAATAAGCACTTTATGGCAATTTGCTGAAATATTCCCTGAAGGTTTCCTCGGTCTTCTAGACCTCAGTTTATGTCAACAAGTTCTTTAAACTAAGATAATGCGAACCAACTGCTATTAAATGATATTTGCATTTCCCTCTTCGCTCCAAATTATTTACATCTTCAGACCAAAAGGGGAGCTTTCTTTCCTAAAGGAGCCCCTGCTGCTGCTGCTGCTTGCAGCGACAAGGTTTGAGTACTTGTGAAACTTTGAAATCTGCAGCATCTGTCCTTTCTGTGTGATGACTGTGTACAACGTCTAGCCTTAACAAGCTGACTGAGCTCTGTGAGCTACGCAAGCTATGTGCAAGCTCAAATCCCTGAGGCCGCTCAAATATTTGCACAACACCCCTTTCCTAATTCTTACTTCAAAGTTCTGGCAAACAGATATTATTCAGTAATGGCTCATAAAACGTTAAACTGAAAAAAATTATAATCATACAACCTTTTGCATGAATGTGTTTTTAAATAATCACTGAAATCTGCCACAAACACATTCAAAGTTAATTGATAACTTGGCTTTTCACACACATTGATATTTCATATTGTGCTCATGTGCACAATATGTATATACATTATTTTGTGCGTCAATGTCATGAAAACTCTTGGAGCTTCATAGCAGTGCTACACCCTCTGCAATGATAACAATTAAGCATCTACTTGCGGTGCAAATAGAAACATATGTTGCTTGTAGGTTGTTTTACATGCGTCAGCCTCATCTGTCTCGAGGGAAACTTTTTTTGTTTGTTTTTAATCTGCCGCTTCAGCGTTGAAGTAAATAGCCATAATCTTTGCCAAGGCGGCAGACGGAGACGGACAGCAGAGATGTCACGTTAAAGAAGCAGAATGACGATGATCTGCAGAGAGACGGAGGTGAGTTTATTTAGTCGGAAGGGAAGATGAGAAAGGCGATAATGATAGAGACGAGCTAACCGAGGCACAACTTGAATGACGCAAATCTGATGCATCAATACCTGGCAGCAGAGGATTTGTATGTAACGTTTTGTTGAAGTCAAGATGCTTCACTGTTCCACTTTCCATGTTTCTATAGATTACAGCCAACGTGACAGGTAGAATATGCGTGTTCAATGTTTTCCATGATGCATCATGACTGGGAGAGATTTGCTTGCGCGTGCGTGTGTGTGTCTGTTCCTACCCGTCCATCTGTTGTTCTTAATCAGGAGAAGAGCAGATGAGTCCCGTCACCTGGAGACTGGCTCAGGGAGGTCCAATTAAACACACAAACACGCACAACTGGCTCGACGTGCAACACACAAATGCCTTCACAGCCACTGCCAGTTGACTAAGATAACCCCCAACATTAACAACATATTTCATCATCATTACAGCCTGTGTGGATACACATTTACAGGCCAACAGGCATACACGTGGAGAGAAATCATATAGTCAGTAAAAATATGAGCATGCGCTGACATCAGACACGTTTATGTATATTAAAGATTTGAAAGCAGTGGATGGCAACCCGTAACATTCTTCTTCTTTTTTTTTTCACACATTTTATTTCACAAACCGTTCTGATTTTAAATATTGACTATATAAAACTTGACATTTGGCATTTTTGAAAATAATATTCTACGTGTTGAAAATGAGAGCATGTCTCTGAGGGTTTCTGCATCAAATGGAGCATTTGAGTGCAATCTCCAAAGATAAAAGTAACAACGTTTTGCTGCAGCACACATGAGTGCGAACGGAAGCCAAAATAGGAAAGTCTCAGATGCTGTCATCATCACACTTCAGTATCACCACATTTTATTTTGGGGACACATGCTAGACTTTTTTTTTTTGTACTTGTGAGAAAATGTGTAATGAAAAGTCTGTCTGTCTAGATTTGATCCATCTATCTGCTTTGTTTTGCAGCAAAATCCTAAGGTTTTCATGACTTTGCTTTTATGAGGTTCCACATTTTTAGTAGGTATTCTGAGAAACTAGTTGCTGATGAAAACCTGTACATGTTCAGCTGGAGGAACTTTTACTGGTTGCTTGTCAGTGAGGAATTTAAATGTTCAATTTTTATTTTTATTTTTATTTTTTTCCACCAGTCTGTCAAAAACAACATTTGAACTAACAGGTCACACTGCAGCACCACTCTTTGGTGTGGATGCTGTGACTGAAGAAGAAACAAAGTTTGCTATATTTTTACATTTTCTATATGTAGACAATGCAATTAACTTATTCTTAAATGGTGTGTAGATCAAGACTATTAAGACCCATAAAATAAATTTTCATCAACATGACATAAGCAATTGATAAAATAGGAAATAGCAGAGAATTGGACATAATCATATGAGTGGATGTACAGAAGCATTTGGAAACTGTTCAAAGAAATGAGCACAAGTGACAGAATGATTTGAAGTCTGAACTGAATGAATTTCAGTTCTGCTCTGAGAAATGCAACGGAGCAACTGAGGAAAAACTGTGAATCACAGCATTATGGGTGAGCTTAGACACGTCCTTCAAAAGACATGTAAGCCAAACGTTTCACATTAATGTTGATTTTATTTTCAGCTTTACATATATGGTGCCCTCATTCTGTGCATGGGACTTTATTTTTCTTTATTTTTTATCTTTTAAGTTGAGCAGATCTGTGTTTAGAAATCACTCGGTTTTTAAAACCTCTTTGTACTGAAAGCGGAGCAGTAACACAATGTTGATCTCATTAATATTCTTCCAATCACCTTCTAAACAGATGTTCTAATGTGTCTGTGAACTGACTACAATTACCAGCTGACTGGCCTTGACATGGCATTGATCTGTAATTGTACGACTGGCGTGTTTGCGCGGCCTGGTGTGTGTCTGTATGTGTGTACTTGTTAATATCTCACGATTGGCTGTGAAACCTAAAAGGACACCGACTTACAGGGGCATCCTTGAAATATGAGTTATTTTACCCTGTAAGTCAGAGGATTGGATAGTTGTGATTTGTTTGGATCAAGGTCTTCTCAGTCTGAACACATGGTATTGGTCCAATGAAGCTTGCCAAAAAAATGATAGCCTTTTATCGCACGCTGCTTTTGGTGGTTTTCTGGACACGCTACCTTCAGAGTCCTGTGAATCTCTGCAGTTCTGAAATGTTTTATCGTTTTAAAGAAGCTAGAATAGCCTTGTAGATCTTACATTGATAAAAACAAGTTGTTTTATTGTTGAAGCTGTGTTCCTGTGTTATCCAGGAGTGAGCATGTGTGGCGGGAAAAAAACGGTTGGTTTTAGCACAACACACTGTTTCTTGATAAAGCAAAACATTGCACATGTAGCCTGGAAAGTCAGAATGTATTTCTGTCTCTTCCTCCCTCTTTGCCTCTCATTTGGTCTTTTTGTGAAGGTGAGGCTTTGTTCTGTCCTAAAGCTGTTCTGTCGCAGTAACGCTAAATATTGCTGAGCAGCTCTTCTCATCAGGCACACACACACACACACGCACGCACACACAAAGATGCAAGCATACACACATGCACACTTGCAGACACATGCAGAAGTGCTGGGCTAGGGGAGAAATGTGGCCTGTTTCTTTGCAGTTTTTGATGACTCTCGCTGTACTGGGTGAAACAGAATGCAGCTTACATTAGCACAGGATAGAGTGTCCCAAAACGAGGAGAGGAGAGGAGAGGAGAGGGGAGGGGAGGGGAGG